CCAAAACCCTGCCACGCAAAACCAACACACATTCACTGCTCTTATTTACTCTTAGTCCATAAGAGCGCTCTCTGTGCCCAGGAGATACAAAAATTTGCAGGTCCAGTAAAGTGACCTTTAAGTTACGAGAAAAAGGTACCCATCTGGGAAATTGTCTCAGAAAGCTATCTGGTCACCATGTGAATTAGCTAATGTTCCCTGCTTTTTCACTAAGTAAGTGCTAAGATCAGGACCAAGATCAGATGATCAGACTTGCACCAGCAGGTCTTGTGGAGCATGGAAATGAAGGCGAAGGGGCTGATCTTCACAGAGCTTTGGCCTCATGAAATTCTTTCCACTGCCCAGCAATAGATGCTATGTTGAAAATATTTTCAAATGCATTTTGCTGGGTTACTGAAAATCATACGAGTATGGTTCCCATTTATCTTCTATAATTTTTATTGGCATAATTTTATTTGCATAATTTTATTGGCATTGGAACCCATGTAAATTTTTAATTTCCATAAAACCCTGAGGCAAGTAGTTCCATAGTTCAATTCCCTTTTCATGGGAGCGGGTTCCTTCTGCTTGCTTTGAATATGTCACCTGGTAGTTTCATATGATGTCCCTTATTTCTTGCTTTGGATAAAGGTGGCAGTCAACCATTCCTAAGTATGTGTTTCTTTTAATATATGGGGCTAGTTCCAGGTCTTAATTTACAGGTGCAGGTGGAATATGTTTTCATGATTTTCAGTAATTCCAATAAACATTCTCTCAAGCCCTTGTTGCCACCAGGTGTAACTGAGCAGAAGTTTAGTGATGTCTTCCCTTCCTCATCCTTTTCTTAGAGACACTGAATAGTGAACTCCATACATTCAAAGCAGCACAATGACATCCTAGGAAAAGCACTGGGCTGACATGCAGAAAACTTTTCTGCTTATACTTCTATTAAGTGATCTTAGGCCAAATAGATCTTGCTTCTGATTCACCAACCAATATGAATAATGATAGTATCTGTTGAAAAAACCCCCTTGATATCCATAGGTGAAGAGCCATATATAAAAGCTAAATGTTATTACCACATGAATTCAGAAATCTAGGTCTTCAGTTTTTTCAAGTGGGTTGGTCCAGAGGAATACAAACTCTTAAGATCAAAGATGTGAAGAAGCAGCAATTATTTGTTAGTACTGCCAGAGATATCCTGGTGCAAACAACGGACTAAAACTCTATACCATTTTCCCAAGGAAAGTGAGGGCTTGCAGCTTGGTATTAGCTGAGAAAGAACTGGGATTACTAGTGAAAAAAACCCACAGTGGAAATAATTTCATTGTATTGAATTTTAAAAATATAATTAAATACATTGTACACAATACACTCCAACTCAAAAGAAAATACAGCTTTTCTCAGGAGTATTACTCTACATTGAATACTTTTTTTCCTACAATCATTTGTTTTCTCATTTTTTCCAATATAAAGAAAGCATATCATTTTATATAGCATGTATTGTAAAGCTGGGATTTACAACGAAGCTAAAAGAAATTAGGTATTCAAAATCCCAATGATATTCCCCATTCCTTTGTAAATCCTACTTCTACTGTTCTCACTAGTACAACCAGGAGTTACTTAGCTGCTTTCTAAATTGAACAGATTCATATTGGTCGTATC